AATGATAAACTACACTAGATACCACTGAACTTTAGGCATTGTATTGTTTATATATATCACTGAACTTTCAATTTTGTCAATTATATCATTGAACTTTGATTTTCATTTCAATTATATCAATGAGTCGTTAAACCGTTAACAGTCAGATCGAAACAATATCGTTTTAGTGAGGTTTCTACGTCGACAACTGTCAGCCACGTCGACATCTGTCAATTATATATTAATATAGGGTTAGGATCCACTTACACATGATGTAAATTCTTAAATTTTACACCATTTTAAGATCGTTAGATAAGGGGAAATCAAAAGCTTAGACTAACTCTTTGGTTTTTTTTTCATTAAATATATTCTCATTTCCTGTTGTTAATCTCCGCATTTTATTTCTCCTCCTCCAACAATCCTAAAAGGGTGCAAAATTAAAAAAAAAAAAAAAGCTTACACTTTTAATTGGATAAAAGTCATAAAATATAAAATTTAAATCTATTTTTTTGTCAAATTATATTTTATATTCGGATCTGAATGTTCAATCTAAAAGATTGGATATCCAATTTTTTCGGATTAAATACAAATCATAATTTTAATGATTTAAATCTTTGAATATCCAAAATTGTATATAAAATAACATTCAGTACCTAAAAATACATACTCGTAGTCTTGATCACCTATCAGCTACCCTCAGAGTCTGCCCTAGGCGCACATAACTAGAGATACATACTAAAATGTCACATGTTTAATTAAATGTTTAGAGTTTAATTTCAAATGTAACATAAATAACCCATGTGTAAATGCATGTATGATTTCATAAACTTTATAATATTTATTTATGCAAGAATAAACATTATTTATAAAGTGAGAAAGAAAGGGAGATTTTACATGTGTTGGTTGTCTTCTGCTACAATTTTTGTCATTTGTGTATTAATCATGTTCATGAATGTATATACATCTTTTCTCTATAATATTTGTGGAACTGTTTTTTTAAGTGCATTTTTATAAAGACAATAGGAGGATTGTCTGATCAATAATTTTGTAGAAATTATTAGAAGCCTATACAACCCTTCCACTTCTTTGTAAATAAAAAGATATTAGAAGACGTGATCGAAAGTAAACTGATCGAGTTGAATTTTACATTTTTATCTACAAGATTAGATTAGTTTGAATTGTTTCCTATTAATTCAATTTTTTTGCATGAATTTTATTATGTATTTTTACGTGGGCCTTAGAATTAATCTTTAAAGTGAGATTGACATAAGATTATACTTTAAATTCATTCATTGAATAGTTTAAACGGAGCCGAATCAAATTTATATGTACGAACATGACATTTTAATAAATTGTGTGCGTGCGTGAACGTAGAATATTTAAAAGTTGAAGGAATAATTTAAAATACAAACCATAGTTTGAGGATGCATGATATAAATAATTAAAAAAATCCAACTTCGCTCACGGGAGGAAACAACCTTCTTTCTCTTCAAAAATGTAAACATAGGAGAAATGGTGATGGTTGAAAGGACCCACAAAAATCGACATGGATAGCAATTACGATGAAAAAATTGTTGTCCACGCTGCACAATAATTGCCATGTTTGAATTCTATGATGATAAGCTGATTTGTAGATACAATCTTTTACATCATAAAATTTAAGACTAAGTTAAAACTCAAAATTTAAAAGTATAGTTAAAAGTTATAAAATGGCCTTAACCGAATTATTAAATTTTAAGAGGGTCCAAAACTCAAAATTTTCCATTTAATAAAGAAAGATTAAGTTCAATTATTAAAGTTTAAAAGGTCTAAATGTGTAATTAAATCATTACACTAAGGAAACTATGTTAGAAGTTGGAAATTTGGAACACGCTTTGAATAGAAGTTGGATGCGTAAATTTCGAAGCAATTTGTTGATTTTTTTTTGTCCTCCAGTTTCAAGACTTCATCCTGATTAATCTAGATTCACCCGAGTCGTACACCAAGCTTTGGTAGGTGAATCTCCCAGCGAGGATTTTCTACATATACAAAGACTCAAACCTAAAATTTTACTTAAGCGATATCAAGTTAATTATCAATTAACCAACCCTTTAGTTAATTTGTTGATGCTTCACTTTCCTATAAAAGCCCACAATGTAGGAACAAGGAAACTAATCTAAAACACAACGGTTTAATAACTCAGTTCTTTTACTTTAATAAAGCTTGAGTTTAATCTTTAAAAAAAAAGTTAGATCCTCTTTTAAAAAATCTTTTCAATTTGAAAATGCTAGTCCAATCTTTATCATCTTCGGTATTTTTCTTAATAAAAAATTGTTATCAATATAGATATGCAACCATATGAATTAGAAAAGTAAATTTTGTAAACACAATAAGTAAAATTGATAGCAAGTGGACATTGATAAAAAAAAATATTAGGGTAAAGTACACAAATGGTCCCCCAACTTTACAATAATACTTTATTGAGTCCTTTGACTATTAAATGTTACAAAATGGTTCCCTAACTATAGGGAGTTATTTTTTCGAGTCCCTCGACTATTAAAACTTACAAAATGGTCACCTGACTATTCATTATGTTCCAAGCTCATCATTTTTTCGATAAAATTTTTATGACAATTTGAGTTATACGTTAACCTACTAATTTGGATATGATAAAATCTGATTTTATAATCTCAAATGACTATCATATCTTAGTCAACATGTTAATGTCCAACTTAGACGACCGTTAATTTTTTAATAGGAAATGACAAGTTTGGAACATAATGAATAGTCGAGTGACCATTTTGTAACTTTTAATAGTCGAGTGACTCAACAAAATAACTTCCTATAGTTAGGGGATCATTCTAGAACTTATTAATAGTTAATAGACTATAAAACAATATCTTATAGTCGATGATCATTTGTATAATTTAACCAAAATATTAATGATGTCATTTTAACTGGATTGATGATTAGTTAATAAATAATTTTCATATAAAAAGTATTACTTTGACCAAAATGAGATATTAGTACTGAAGTGTTAGTTTGACCAAAATAATATGGATTAAAGTGATTGTTCTATCAAATACTAATGATAAATTCTTATATTATACAAATATTAATTGCACAAAATACATAAAACTAAAATAATTTCTTTAAAAAGAAAGATTAGAGATGCATGTAAGTTGAAGGAACATAACTATTTCTCAAGTGCTTTAACGTTTCTTAGATTCATCCAAGAATCGACGTATTTATCGGCAGATACGGTTATATAAGTTGTTGCAACCCAAGGCAAAGTCCAAGGAACCATATTATATAGTCAACTGCTGAGATTTGCCCGATCCGATTCATATTTATTTTTTGAATAATTCCTATTTAGGAGATTAGAAGCTTTTAAGTTTGAAGTGAGAGATAATTACAAATTTAATATTAATTTTCGTAAGATACTTTTAATTATTAAAGAAAAAGCAGAGGAATTGTTGTTTGAATTTTATACGAACGATATGACGATAAGGTGAGTTGGAGAGACGATCTGAATATATAAATCTTTGTTGGGACATTTGACTCTTGTAATTGAAGCTTTACAGCATGAAATCTGGTTGGTTCATTACCCGCCCCTTTACCTATTACTATTTGCCTTTCCATTTGTCAAAGTTTCACATCAACACGTCTCGGGACCGAGGTAAGATTTTTACATTAGAAAAAACAAACTTTTAATATTTTAAAAAATAATAAGTTTATAAAATTTTAGAAAGATAAATTAAATAAAAATATATTAAAAATTTAAAATATATAATTGTTTCAAGTTTTCAGAGACTGTTCCTACCCGTCTTCTCTCAATCTATCTCCGAACATACCACATCTCAAAATTTATAAACAAATATGAATTCATACTCGTCTTTAAATATTCCCGTGTTATGTTTTTATTTTCCTTGTATCATCTCTATATTTTATTATCTTAAATATAGGAATATGCTTTGAATATAAAATTACTTAAATATACTCTAGCAACGTGTTATCTTTTAAAATATACATATATAAATTATCTGGGGGAATTAGTAAATTTATTAGATTGAACAAGGTCTTGATTGTTCGTGTTTATGTACCTACTCTTTATAATTTGTACCATTTGTTGCATGTATTCTGATTATATATGTTGATTGCTTTTATTAATGGTCACGTCTTAGGTACACTAAAACCATCATTTCTCCTATAGCCACTTGCTTAAAATTTGAGCTTTTAATAGGGTCTACTATACATAGGTTATATTTGGAGATGTGTGATTGTCCACTATACATAGGTTATAATTACCCATATTTTTTCATTGGTGTTCTGTGGGTAGCTTGTAGGAACTATTGCATATCAAGATCGCCTGGAGAAGAGGTTTTTTTCCTATAGACCGGGGAGAAATTTGAGAGAATTTTATATAACTTTCTCTCAATTTTCGTTATCTTCATCCTAAGCTCATTATTGTTTCTTATTCCATACGGGAAGAGGGCCTAAACATAGGTAGATGTAAGAATTTCCCTCAAGGGGTGTGCGTTTAACAAATTATATTAAAATTTTAGAAAGTAAGAATTTATAAAGATCGAGATCAACATAGTCGGTTTTATCATGTATAGCCGGATTAGTTGCCATACCATTCAAAACAAACAATAGTTGGCAATAAAGGAGAGTGTTGTTCTTGGAATACCTGATAAACACAGGTATAGAACAAGAGCAAAACACTTGAAATGTAGAACAATCATAAGTAGATTTGGCAGCACAAGGAAACATGGACTCGTTAAAAACAATATTATGAGAAATAAAGATTCTGCCAAAACTATCCATGCATTGATATATCGCAATTAAATTGAGTTTGAACCAAATTAAATTACAAATCAAATACAATAGTAACTTCATATTTGTATTTGATCAAATATAACCAAGTGCAACAACTATGCATGTCAACAAATGCTACATAGTAGATATAACCAATAGACATTATCAGGGTATAGCAGATGCATCTCAACAGGTTGTATTTAAGGAACCAGAGACAATGACATTAATGTACAAATATTGGTTAATTTCACTGTGGAATTATGTGACAGCACTGAATACAAATAAAGAGGGAAAAAATAAATTTGAAAACAAAGGGGATCTGGAGACAAAATTCTTTTCAAATGCATGTATCATGTATGTATACATGTGTAGATTTATCAGCCACACAATCTTCGGTCCGTGCACAAACTATCATTGTAGTGTACTTGAGTTACTAGGGCCCAGTACGTCGTCACATTTTGTTCCCTCACAAAGACACTCTTGAGGGTTCCCATAGAAATAGTCTTCCTCCTTCGGTTTGTCCGGAATAGTCCGACGACGGAAGGGTTGCCCCATCCGTTTCTCGTGCACTTGCCTTACGGCTAGCACGTAGTTGTTCCATGGAAGAGTCCCGTTCTGGTGCAAATCCAGCAATTCGACGAGTTTCTTTCGATCTGGTAGGATGCTTTTCTTAAACCCAAGATACCTGAACAAGAAAAAGATTGTCAAGACGATGGAGATAAGCTTCCTGCACCCACTCCCTCGGTGCATAATTTGGAAATATACATACCTGCGATGACCTTCTACAACTTTGGCCATGTTCCCGTCGTATGTCGGGATGAAAGTGTTGCTGGCAATGGATACCATAAAGTCCAAAGCTGCCATCTGAGATGAATGGTTCTGAAATTGCTGCAGTTCTGCTGGATCTAATATTGTTTCCTTTTTAACCTGAAATTGTAATAATGTCATACGATTCACAAAAACCTAGTGAAAAAACACAATAGAAACTATAGTTGCGGAAAGTAGAGCTAGCACCTGTACTTGGTTAGCAAACATGCATATTGATAAAGGATTAAAGTGATTCTACCGGCCCAACTAAGAGCAGGGGAATGTTTCATGCAATCCCAACCGTCCATTTGATATGGGTGAGTGAGTGGCAAGTCGCATTGGGTTGGGATCAATACTTCAAAAATAGTTGGTAAAAACAGGTTCCAAAAATCCTAGCAAAACTTGAGTTTTTGTATGCACCCAGAAAAAGTAGTTAAAATAGAAACCCAGTGCTTTGATGAACCTTAAAACGAAAGTAGGAACGCCCAAAGCAAACCATTTACAGGGTCATAATCTCACAATGTGTGGAAATGCAGCTCTTAGAGGCGCCAATCGCCGTTCACTGCCGTAAATTTCACCAGAAGCAATGTAAATCTGAGTCTCCTTATCAAAACCAAATGCTTTCAAAAGCAATGTTGCTTCTTCTGGTGTCAGAGGACACAACCCTTGTTGTCTCCTCTCTTCAGACACTATCTCTTTCTCTCTCCACCAAGGGTATGCATACCTGAAAGAAAAAGTGTAGCTATCTAATTACGATTTGTATTACATCTTGATTCATGAAATTGATAATAGATAATAGATCACAAGATACTATATAGATCTAAGTACAGATTTATATCTTATCACTAGCTCAAAATTTTGATGCGACTCAAACAAGCAATGCAAGGGTACACCATGATAATCTTGCCAAAAACCAACGAAACTAGGCTATTGATTACTACCAAAAGTGGAAAGCATCTTAGATTTATTTTTCTTCCCTGTCTAACATTATGCTTCAGAAAAATACTCATATTTAACTTGCAGCACACAGCTCTGCATCTTATTTGTGGTATGTTGGATGCTTGTGGTCAGTAGTGGCTCTCCTAAAAAGACCTCACACCAATCCTTGCTAAGATAGTTAGTGTGTTTAGACTGGAATATATCAGCTTCAAAGAAGGAAAACCTCAATTGTTTTAGTTCCTCAGCTTCTTCAAAAGTGCAGCCATGCGTGCAACCTGAGAAAGCCAACATGTCCATCTCATATCTTAGATGCAATGCCGCGAAGGGCCCCTTTTCTTGAAGAATCTGAACCAATTTGTAACCCAATGTCTCAATTTGAGGAGTAAATTTCAGTCCTTGGAAATTCACACGGCACCTGACTTTCTGAAGATCAGGTAGAATCCCATTATTTGCCAGTCGTGCATCTGTTCTATTGAAGTGCACTACCTTATACTTGCTGAACAAGGGAAGAATCTGTGAGATAATATCAAAGAAACTAGATTTTATTGCGCACATATAAAAAAAGAAGAGACAAACACTTCCATCAATCCATTTGAGAGAATTATCAAACCTGTTCCAAGTAGTATTTTTCATTTGACCAGCTAACAGGAGACATCCGAAACGGTTGAAACCCATATTTCCTACTAAACTTCTTTGGCAGCCTTCTGATAATTCTAACTTCATCCCTTAGAGAATCAATGAAATGTCTCACATCAAAAATGTCCTCAAAATCACTGCAAAAACAGATCACGAATCAAAGACTTTTACAGCAGCTGAGAAAGAATGAAACAGCCTTTTTCAGAATTATAAAGCATACCTAGGGTCTGCCCAGAAAGATTTCTTGTCAAGTTCTGGAACAACCAAAGTGAGATTTAAAAGTCGAGCAACAGCTACCATGTCACAGATCTAAAAATGCCCAATTAGCTGCATTAATAACGTAATGTTGAATAAATAAAAAAAAAAGGAAAAGATGAGGTTATAAAAAAGATACAGACTGCAGCACGCATTTGATTCAAGCCACCATTGCATGAAACTTCGAGAAAACCATTGCTTTTATAGTTTCCTGCAACATGCAAATATACATGAATGAAGTTCTTCCTTTTTCCAAAAGATCTAATTAAGAAAGTAAAAAAATTCCTTAAAGAAAATTCAGGGATATATGTAAGGAATAAAGTTCTAATCACAAATTTCTCAATTCCCTGAGAAGATTGGCCAGCATTTAATAATGAATGATTTCAACATATTGTCTGGTAGCAAAAGTTTGTACCTCTATGTTATTCATAGGTACTTATAGAAACAAAGATATGGAGGTTCTTAAGCATTGTGAAGAATTAACAATTCCGGACAGCGGAACCTAGAAATTTAGTATCCACGGATGCTGACAGCCTTGAAGGTAACATAGAAGGGATCAATGCATTAGAGCCCGACGCAAAACTAATTTCAAAATAAAACTAAGGAGGGCTATAATGAAATGCAAACTGAAAAGTACAAATCAATCTAACAGACAGCGGCTTCCAGCAAGCAATACAAATTCAATGTGTCATCGGTGTTTCTGGTATAATAGATCGATGCAACTATTTCAAATGTTAAATGTACCCGGTCCAATAGCAACTAGAGAAAATAAATAAAGGGGATAATCAATGTTCATCGAAGTAACCAAATATCAAGTGTCAACATGATGAACCACATTTGTTCCTAAAAATCACTTTTAGGGTCTAGGAGAAAAAACTTACCCATAAACCAAATAAAATTCACATGCACATTTCCTAAGACCCTTTTCTATCTTAATCAAATTCAACACAAATTTCTAAGCTGAGTCTAAAATTTAGAGCAAATTCAAAGCAAAATAAGAAGAAAGAAAAAAAGCTGAGGGGACTCACTGGGAGGAGGAAGAGGCGGCGGGGAATGGAACGAGTGTTGAAGACGAAATGGGGGGCGAGTGGTCCAAGGCCTCCGATTGGTTAAACCGGAAAGTAAACGTGGGTGCCATAGCTCACTGACGGCGAGGAGCTGAACCAAACAAGCCCAAAGCAAAATGCTGGAACAAACTCTAAGGAACCAAACTTGAAGACGAGTCCTGGGAATCAGTTGACTAGGAATCTTATCGCACCTCACTTGTAAATTATTCTCAGACCTAACCTCCTCCATTTCTCTTCGTCTCTCCTCATTTGAATCCCAAAAAAAATAGAAAGGAAATCTGGCAATTCTGTTCACACTTGACAATCAAAATCTTGCGATTCGCCCTTCTCAATAAACAATAGAACTAGAAAGAGATCTGGATCCCCAACATATGATGGCAAGAAAAAAGACAACTAAATTGAATATGCGAATCAATCTCGCCGACCGAACCGAATAACAACTGGAATTGTTTCCTTCCTTTTTCCTTTTAGGCTTTTAACCGGGGAATGTTTCCGGAACGGCAGGTTAATATACGGTTAATATACGGCGTTATCGGATATATTAAAAGATATTTAATAAATTCGGTTTAGCGCTATTAGAAAAGTTGACTAATAATAATGTAGTAGGTCTAAGTTATGAAGAAATATTAAAAAATTGTGCAACCGGCAAACTTAACTTGTCGGTTCGTGTCGATCCAAATTAAAAATGTATCGATCTACAACGATATAACAGGTAAAACTATGACAAAACCAGTATTGAAATGATAAAACCGGTAAAGCGGTATCAAATATATTTAAAGTGTCGGTACTTTAATATAAGGATCGACAATTCGTTAATTTAAACGAGGAGCAGTTTTAGCGCCTATAAAGTGTCGATACTTTCAAAAAAATATATCGATCAACAACGATATAACAAGTAAAAATATGATAAAACTGGTATCAAAATGATGAAACCGGTAAAACGCTACTGGATATATTGAAAGTGTCGAAACTTTATATAAGGATCGACACTTTGTGAATTTAAAAGAGAAGCAGTTTTAGCGCCTATAAAATGTCGATACTTTAAAAAAAATGTATCGATCAAACAACGATATAACATGTAAAAATATGATAAAACCGGTATCAAAATGATAAAACCGATAAAATGATACCGGATATATTAAAAGTGTCGATACTTTCGTAAGTACGTGTAATAAATTATCGATATTTTCAAAGAAATACATAATTATCATTTCAAAAGTATCGACACCTGACATAAAAGTATCGACACTTTTGTATTTGTATCAATTAAATATAAATAACATATCCGATGAAAATATAAAAGGTCATAGCTAAATATCCTCTGAAAATAGATAGAACGGACGAGTTTTTGAAATCGAAGTGTAATTGTTGCTGCATTTCAGAAGGTGTTTCTAAAGCGAAGTTTGTTTGCTTGTTGCTGCAGTCGAATCGAAAAGTATGTTGTCGAAACCCTAATTTTTTATTATTACAGTAATCGCGATATGGTTTTTATGTGTTGTTTGGGGTTTTGGAGTAAAGAAGCATTTGAGCCCGATTGCAGGTAGAAAGTGATATTCAAGGAAAAATATAAATGTCGATACTTTTATTAAATATTATAGGTAGAAAATGATATTATAGGTTATAAATGTGCCGACACATTTTGTAGTGGCCATTCAAATTCTTTTGAAGAAAACCGTTTTACCAAGAGTAGTTATCTATATTGTATTGAATAAAGTGTATGTAACAAAATAATTTTATTTGCGTAAACTGATATATAAAGGCCAAAAAATGGAGTCAATGGGTTGGAAAATTGTTGGTGGCGCATGACTTTGAAATTGAGGTCGAGACTCGAAAGCAACCAAAGGGTGGATATATGTACTTCTAGTAAGTATCAACGTCTTTTTGTTATTATTGTTGAAATGGTAATTGTATTAAAGTATTGATAAACTTTAAATTGATTACAAATTTAAATGTGACAGTATGGCCGAATGCAAAAGGATGAAGGAAGATGGCACACAGAGCGGTTCGTATGTAAAATGAAATTGACATTGAGTATTATTAGGTTAATGTATTGATTAAGAAACGTTTATGTTTAATATTAGGTGAAAAAAATGTGAGGTTCAAATGGAATTCGATGAGTGATGCTGAAAAGAAACCTTACATCACACAGTCAGGATGATAGTAAAGAATACAAGAACGGAGGAAAGCACATGAAATAGGTATTCATTAAACTTGTAAATACGTTGATACAAAATATATAAGAACTAAACTTATATATTGTTAAAAAATGTAGGAAGTGTCGACAAGATGCAGCATTAAAATAGTGAATTCATTAATTAAACACCTAAGGAGAAGGGTCGTTGAATGTGCTGGGAGAAATAGGTTTTGGATCGTTGGTAGGAGTAAGGGATCGACCTATTCGGAGGGAATTGTGTCGATCCTTGATGGCGCAATTTGATGTCAGACAATGTATTGCTAAGTATAGTGATTTTTCATTTCCTCTCGGGATCCCATGTGCTGCAGCCGTATTGGGGGTAGAAAATGAAGGCAAAAGTGTTGTAGAAGTCTGTAAGAGTAAGGACTGGAAAGCACTTGCCTCCAAATATTGTTTGAAGCAGAAGGTGACATATACTGAAATTGAAGAGGAAATAAAAAGTGGATCTTACGGGGGGATGAGCTGAAGGCCAGAGTTCTATTATACCTTGTCGGTATCTTTCTTTGTCCAACGGGTGATACGTCAACGAACAAGGAATATATGAAGCTCATTTGCGATGAAGGCTTGAAGGGTGAATTCAATTGGGCTGAATATATCCATTCGAGATTGATTGAATCAATAATCTCCTTTAAAAAGGGCAGCCAGAGATACCTCAAAGGGTGCATAGCAATCTTAGAGGTAAATGAGTTGAATAACTTTTTTATGTTTTTATATAAAATGATAGTATAATTATTATATAAAAATATAAATTTTATTATAAATGCAGGTTGCACTGTTCGATTTTTGGTCGGGCTGTGAGGCAGTGTCGTCTTATGAAAGAACCGGAATGGCACGCATCCGTGCATGGGGGAAGGAAGAGGTGGTTAGAGTGATGGTGAAGTTGAAGTTGGATAGAGCGAAAAAGCGAGAAATGGTAATAAATGTAATTAAATAATATTAAGAATATAATCAATGTCTTAATATTATAATTTAATTTTGAAGGTTATTGGCGAGGATGTAGAGGAGGTAGTGGAGGTAGAGGAGAAGAAATGAGAGATAGTTGTATTGGGGGATGACAGTGAGGGGGATGACGGTGAGGGAAAACAGAGTAACTTCGACATTTTGATGTCTGAATTGGCTGATATCAAAAAAAATCCAATTTTATATCATGCAAAGACAATCAAGAGTCGAAGAGAAACTTGATAGAGTCGAAGATACACTTGAGAGACATAAGGGGGTAGTGGAAGGAAAAATAGATGGAGTGGTGAAAGAAGTAGAGGTGTTGAGGGGTGAAGTGGTGAAAGAAGTTGAGGTGTTAAGGGGTGATCTTAAGATGGTGACGGGTGAAAAATATTTGAGGGAGTGGTGAAGGAGGTTGTGGAATTGAGGAGTGAACTTATGGGGGTGAAGAGGGTGGTTGATAAATACTTGGATGAAGGAGATCAATTGAAGGGTGAAAAAAAAGTCGATGTCATTTATACACCGGAGAATGTTATGGCAGGAGATTTGGATTCGGAATGTCCTGCACCCCAGAAGAAGAAGCAGAAGGTAAGTTGAATAAAATAAAACTTAATTTGATCTTTATTATGTTGTTGTGATAAAAATTTGTATGCAAAATTGTAGGTTGAAAAAGTGGATATTCCAAGTGGAATTGATGGCATCGAAGCTGCAATTTGTGATTATTTATGGAATAGTGAGTTAGAATCAGGGTAAGTGAAATATATTGCTTTGTGAGTGATATTTAAATATTTCATGACAACATATTAATCTTAATGATTCATACAGATATTCTGTAATCTCAATGGGAAATCAATTCGCTACTGTATACGACGTTGCAACGTTGAAGCCTACGGAATGGGTTGGCGGTGTGGTATGTAGAAAGTATAAAATGTTAAAACTTATTGAATATGTTCTGATTGTGTAATTAATTTTGTTAGGTTATTGATTTGCTTGCCTGGACAGTATGCTACGATTCTCAAAAGTCACTCCGGAGGATTGGCTACCTTCCATACCACTTAGCGGTGAGTTAAATTAATAAATGGAGATAAATAGTGTTATAGACGGTAAATTAATAATGTTTGTTGCGTAATTGCAGCATCAGGCGTTGGATGCCAACAGGAAAGAAAGTGTTGAGAGTATTGCTACCTTCTGGGCTCCCATATTGGATAACTATGTGAAATTCACCGACTGTGAGAAGGTAAGACACCATACCAATTGCAAATGTTGTTTTCGGATATAGAATGTTGAATTTTGTTAAATTGGGCGTGAAATTTGTTGCAGATCATGATCACAATAAACTGCCATAATTCACATTGGTATCTGTTGGTGTTGGATATGGTAGATCGTGTTGCAACAATATATGATAGTATGTTTACATCTGAAGCAGCTAAACAGAGAGTGAAGGATGCTAAGAGATTGGTATGTATGTATGTATGAAAGGACATTATGTAAATTATAATGCATAACTTTTTTGGATCATAACTTCTTCTTTTTTAATGCAGATTAAAATATTAGATTTTTATAATAAGAAACGCATTTGGGTTGAATACTGTGGATCTCTAGGAAAGTTTCCCTTGAAAAATTTCAAATTTGTGGAGCATAAGAAGAATAAACAATTAAATGGGTATGAGATGTTATCATAAATAGAAAGCTTAATTTATGCAGGATTCATCATAATTGACATGTGTGGTTTTCAAATTTTGTAACAGACATGATTGCGGCATGTATGTGATGATGTGGATGGAATCGATCGGTTCTACAGGGGCAACTGGTGATTTTGTAAGTGGAAAGAAAAAATTCGTTTGTGGTAAAATTGTTAAATGTCGTAGATTGAATGCTGTAGTTTACAATGAATATATGTTGTTGGAGAGTGGGATCGATCGCGAATATTAAACGATCTCGTAAGCCACAATCAAAATCAACGAAGACAGGAGATAACAAAAGCTGCCATGAGACATAAGAATAACAAAAGGATGCAATGATGTAAATGTAGGGAGATAACAATTGCCTAGTGGGGGAAAACATTCAACGCTTCGAGACATCGATTATTGGTGGATAGCAAAGTATAAATCCAAATCCAAAACGGCTCCAAACATTGCTAAACTCATATTTAATACAATTGTATATATGGTCACAAAGGGAGCAACAATTTTAACTTCACTACCATATGGATGTGTTATCACCCATCTGTTGAAGAAGAAAGAAGTTGATTTTTCGCATGACGCCCCTGTTCGATTAACCCGCAAGATTGACATGTTATTTATTAAAAAAGCGGGAT